GAACGTTCTTAAGGCATATGAAGAGGTGATTTCCGGATCCAAAGCAGCGTTGGAAGATGGCAAATCCGAAGGCAAACGAGTTGAAATGGACTCCAATGGTCGGTCATCGGGCAAACGGAATATTGCGAAGGAGTGGTGCAAAACCAACTTCCTCAACGAGCGAGCATTGAAGGAGGCATTGGACATCCGGAAGCAGCTGCGAGAGACGTGTGAAAGGGAGGGAGTGGACTGGAAAGCGAGTGAGGGATCGAGAAACCCTGAGGGCGACAACGATTATGAGGGAGTCTTGAAATGCTTATTGGCTGGGCTGTGGCAAAACACTGCGATGATCACCCCCGACGGTTCATACAAGCAGGTTGTTGGAGGACAAGTAAGCATTCCTTAACTGATCGCGAAGTTGCTATGATTCCCTAAGCATACAGTCTGCTAGCCCGTCAAAATTCACCCCTCTTCCTCGCTATTTGGTCGCAAGTTCCCTGCAATCATGTACGACGAGCTAGTAAGTGTGCTGTACTCGCCTCATTCAGATCCCCTATCGAGTCGGCTAACTTTTGCAATGAAAGATCGTCACATCAAATACATATGCGATGGGAGTCTCCTCGATCCCACAAGCGTGGCTGTTAGAGCTCCATTTCTTCAAACAGCAAGTACCGGGAACGAGCCAAGCAGGCAATCCTACCGCCGAACCACCCGCGCTACGATAGGTTATATTATTTGTTCGGTGTAATAACTTGGAGCGTGTGGTCCAAGTTTCGCTGGGCGGCGAGTAGAGCAACGTGTGCAATAGTTGGATGTAAACCGTACAACGTCGTATAGACAAGATACAAATCACAAGGAGCCTAAATGAAGTCTTCCGCCCGCGCACGCTTTCTTCCCTTGCTCTCCGCGTCGCTCATGGTGACGTCTTGCTGCGATGGTTGCTGAACCCAACCGCTACGAGGAATCTCGTAGGCGTACTTTGAACTCTCAGCGCGTACCTCGTCCTGGAGATGCCATATCAGCATTTATTCTGAAAGCTTCATAACGGTACTCACCGGAGATTTAGAATTATTATTCCACATGAGCTTCGAACCCTCTTTCACCTCAGCCAGATGCTCAGCGGGTTTCGGAGTCGGAACAGGAACGACAGTCGCAGGAGGCTGAGAGGAGGCTGGCGACGAATCCGGGGGAGATGATGATGTGGCGGGATTTTGTGATGGTGGCACTCCAACGCCTGCCGGTGCAGTTCCTGTTGGAGGAAAAGGAGGAACAGCTCCAGGTGGGGGTAGAGGGGGCGCACCAGGCAGCCTTGGAATGTTGGGAGGGGGCATAGGCATGGGAGGGCCACCCAACCGAAGAGGTGGGCCTCCTGGCGGGAAGGGTGGCATAGGCATGCCTGGAGGGAAAGGCGGGGCTTGACCAGGGACCATGCTGAATTGCAAGTGTCAGTAATAAAATATTGAAGGCTAATAGTGATCACCTACCCGGGAGGTGGAAACGGCGGGGCCATGCCAGGAGGAGCACCCGGTGGCAATTGGAAAGGAGGTTGCGGAGGGAAAGGTGGAACAGCACCAGGTGCGGAAGGGCCGCCAGCAGCGGACGGAGGGAAAGGGGGTTGCGCGTAAGCTTGAGGTGCTGCGACAACACTAGCTGCTGTGGGACCAGAGGAAACCGTAGCACCACTCTGCGCAGCTGTGGATGTGTCGTTACCGGACATGAGTGCGATATGTGCAAGAAGCTGTGACCGTAGTTCAGCCTCGCTTAGTGGTCGAAGATCCGTCCTAGCGCGCTTGGTTGGCGGTTGAGAAATGGAACCCGCCGCGAGGCCAAGCTCTTGTTCCTTCCTGCGCTTCCAGTTTTCAACATCGCTGTAAGAGGCAAAAAATGGGTGAGCATACGTTAAATACCCCTTATCTACTTGCGCCTTACTCTTTTGGAATTCTGTTGAGCGAACGGCGTTAGTCAGTTATTCCAAGCAGATTGGGGAGAAAAAGACGTGAACCCACCCTTCCATACCAAAGATCTCAACTTCTCCTCCTTCTCGACCAGGTAGTGCATTTTCAATTCTGTAAAATAAAGTCAGAATTTGGAGAGCTCAGGGGTTGGGCCACTTACTTGTCCGGATCGAGCT